CGTTGGCTCCATTTTTTCTATTTCAACTTCAAACCTTTTTAAAGCAAATAGCAGTTTTCTACACATATGTACATCTATTTCTTGCTTAAAGATATACTATGCACATGTCTACAAAACAACTAACTCATTATTACTGATATGTTCAGTGAAGGCTGAGCAATGTTTGAGTCAATGGGAAATGCTGGTTATTTAGAATACTGTTAGTTTACTTCACTACTGAGAGCAATGCTTTAGTTAATGTCTGTCTTTGCATATACTCATGTCTTTGTGCAATAAATTTATTCTTCAGAAGAAATCCATAAAAGTGGTTAAAGCATAGATAGTTTTCAAATGTGTTTGACATGTTTGAAATGTCAAATATTTCCACAAATTTATTTGGTTAAACTCACAATAGAGTGCATAATAGCACGTACTCCATCATAAATGAAATTTTCAAATGGTGCTGTGATTCCTGGTGATATAAAACTTGTTGGAATATATAAGTATATATATACTGTGTATAAAACAGCATACATTTTGTTAAAGACATTCAAAAGAAAAATTTCTTTTAAATGTATTTCTTGCTCTTAACTTTTGAGCCACTTGTTCTAAAGATTGTGCATTTAAAAGTCATATTCTTCCCCTGAATTTGCAATGTTTGTTTTCATGTACACACTTTAAATTTCATCATTTGAAATCTTATTTTAGATGTGTAAAAAACTCAATATATTCATTATGGAGATTTTCTCATGGTTTGGTATTTATATCTAGAAACCCTTTTCTGTCCAGCTCAATTTCTGTTTTAAGTTGTGCTGTGTGTCTTTCATATGATTCATGAGATTATAGCCAATTGTTCAGCTCCTCCTGGAAAATAAAACAATGTTCATTCTTCCAGATCAAATTTGGAATCATTCTGTCAACATTTTCTAGAACAATTTTTCTTGATGTTTAAGACTACACCTGTATTTTCTTTATGTTTTTTTTCCTCCAAGTTCAGTAAATTTATCAGGTATTTCATTGTCTTTGTTATTATTACATAGAACTATTCTGTTGAGAGAATAATTTAGGTTCTAGATATCATTACAAAAAGCTCGTTAGCACATGGTAGGTTCCTGGAATAAATATACATGAGGCATGATCTGGAACTGCTCACCCAGATGACAGGAGGAGGAGGGTGTTTGGGGCAGAGCACTCCTCAGTCAGTGCTTCCTAGGAGCCAACTGCTGGTGATGAACAGCCATGGAGAACTGAAAGCCTTGTGACCAGGTCTCTCACCACACTCGGGACTTTATCTTTAGCTGACAATGAATGCATAATGTTTAAAGGAGGTTAAGAAGACAAAGTGGGGATGTATGAACAAGTTTGCTTATGTGTGATTATTGATGTACTGCTGAGGTCATCAATGACTGCTTATTCAGGGAATACTCATATATAAGTGAGATAGGTTTATAGTTATGGATGGTTATTAAACAAATGAAAATGAATTATATATTTCTATATACAACAGCAATTTTGAAATACTTGCTTCTCAAAAGACTATTTAACTAGTGCACATTAATTATATTGAATAATGGATTTTTTGTGACATTTCCATACATGCATGTAACATACTCTGTTCATATCCATTCCCCTCATAACCCTCCTGCCTTTTTCCTCCCTTCAGTTCCTGATGCCCTTCCTGCTGTTAAACAGCACCCCTCCACTTTTTCTTTCTTCACCCCTCTTCCGTATTCCTCACATGAAGGGGGCACTCAGCACTCACCTCCTGAGTCTGGATTAGTTCACTTACTGTGGTGATCTCCTTCTCCCAGTTCCACACTGTTCCCCTGCAGATTGCATGGTTTCATTGTTGTTATGGCTGAATAAAACTCCATTGTGGGGATCTAGGAAACACTCCTCAGTGAGAGAGCACTTTCCTAACAAGCACAACTCCTTGGGCTGCTGTGTCCCCAACACTGAAAAAAGTTAGAAAAAAACCTCTGTAATGGAGATGTATCACATTTTCTTGTCCATTCGGCTGGTGGTAGGCACGTAGGTTGATTCCGTGACCTGGCTCTTGTAACTGTACAGTAACAAATATGGATGTATATACAGTTGTCTCTGTCTTGTAGATCTGGGAGTAATCCTAGGCTTCATTTCTTTAGTAGCCTCCATACTGACTTCCATAGTGGCTGATCTAATTTAGGTTCCCATCAACATTGTACAAGAGTACCTTTCTCTCATGCCTCAGACTTTGCGTGAACCCCCCATGAGGTTGAGCCAGGAGGATGCTGGCTGGTGGGCAGTTCCCAGGCAGCCTGTCTAACACCCTTGAGTGTCTCACCATTCTGCACCTGTTGGCCTACTCCTATCCTCCACTTGCTCCTAGACCTGCCCTGGTGGTGGCATTCTGTCCCTTGGCAGGTGATGTCCCATGGAAGGCATTTATCCTCTCTGTCACACAGAGGTGATCTCATGGGGACCCTGAATGAGCAGAAATTGGGGATGTGTATCAAGGTTCTGGGTGCAGTGATTTGAGATGAAGAGGCTCTGCAGGACAGGACATGGTCCCTTTAAATGCCAACCCAGTCTTGTACAGTCCATCAGCTTCTGAATGTTTCTGCATTTACCTTAGAATCTATGACTGTCTGGTGCATATTTTCATATTCTATCCCTCTTAATTAATTTTATTGTATGTCTATTTTTCTACTTTAGAAGGTTAATTCTTATATCACATAATTTCCATAACAATGATACTATTAGGGCTACAAAATTTTTCCTGCTTAAACTGTATCTTCTTTTCTTTTTCCTATTTTGAGTTCTTTGAGAATTTCATATAATGTACTTTTATCATATTCATCTACCTCCTCCCAGGTTCACATCCCTTCCCTACCCACCCACCCAACGTTTTTAAACCCACTGAGTCCAATTTGCACTAACCATACACTCTTGGGTATGTGGCCATCCATCCTGTGAACTTCCATCCAATACTGTATTCTTTAATTTGAGTTTGAGTTCCTTTTGTCCTAAGTACTGTTTAAAAATATGTTTAGATGATTTCTCTCACTTAGATATCAAAGTTACTATTTTGTTTAAGAGTTGTGATGCATTTTAGTGCTAAAAGATTGTGATACTTAATATAGTGACATACGTGTGTGTGTGTGTCTGTGTCTGTATGTCTGTGTAATTAAAGAAGAGGTCGCAAAATTGAAAGGGAGTTCAAGGGGCATGAGAGGAGCTGGAAGGGAGAGAAGGAGGTGTGGAAATGATGTAAATGTAGTACCCGTGTGTGAACATTTAAAAAAAATCAGTTATTTAAGAAAAGTTAATTAGTTTGGGGACACTGGATAAAAAGACACAGCCTGGACTGCTGCAGTTCAGCCCAGCTGTGTGTTTTTATCTTGAAAAACCTTTAAAATCACTGGAAATGCTGGCACAATAATAGCAATAATAATTATTAATAATAATAATAATCACAAATGTTAAAAAGGGATGATAGCTTTAAAGATTAGGATAAATGTGCCAAATTCTACACAATTTGTTATCATTGACGTGTAGCTCATTCTACCGATATTTAAAAAATAAACTGAACCCCTCATTCTGTCCATAGATACTGAAAACCTAGCACCCACCCCCGACCGTCCCCTTCATTGCTTGCTCGCTTCTTCACTGTGGTGCTGGGGATGACACTCAGGGCCTCATGCATGCTAAGTGCTCTACCACTAAGCTAGGCCCTCTGCTCCCCTGCACAGTCAATTCTCTTCCTGAACTGGTTTCTGTTTTCTCAGTATTCCGAGCTTCACTGAGCTTTGGGGTATACACTTTTTTATTCTGTAGTAATATACCACATTCAAAGTCTACCATGGCTGTTTTATGTTCTCCATTATTGTCTATGGTAAGGTTTTTCCCCATGGCATGGGGTTTTTCCCCACTAGCCTTACCTGAAAGCATTTCCCCTCTTCTGCTAATGCTTTCTTGTTTAAAGCACATGAAGAATACTCTCTTTTGTTTACTACAGTATCAGCAAGTTCACCGCACAGGCATCCCTTCATAGATAGGAAGGAAATAGCAGTAAATTAGTGAGAAATTGACAAACTACTTTAGGACCTAACAATCATGGTCAATAATAAGATGAGAGATGTTGTTATCCTGTGCACTGTAGCTTACTATAGTTTTCAGCAGTGTCTGCAATTCCATGGTTATTTCTAGGTGGAATTGGCAAGTTTTTATATTTCATTTATTATTACTACATTTATTTACTTATTGTGTGTGTGTGTGTGTGTGTGTGTGTGTGTGCGCGCACACACACACACATGTATGCCATGGCACACATGTGGAGGTCAGGGGACAGTTTTCAGGAGTCAGTTCTCTCTTTCAACTGTGTGAGTCCCACGACTTGAACTCACGTTGTCAAGCTTGGTAGCTTTACCCGCTGAGCTATCTCTTCAGCCTGGGATTGGTCAGTTTTAAAACTGTAGTAAAATAGCTGGGCATGGTGAAACATGCCTTTAATCTCAGCACTTGGGAGGCAGAGGCAGGTGGATCTCCATGAGTTCAAGGCCAGCCTGGTCTACATAGTGAGTTCCAGGCCAACTTGAATTATAGGGAGATCCTGTCTCAAACAACAACAACAACAACAACAACAAAACCTGTGATAAAAATTCTAGGTTTGATCAAATGTCTTACTGAATTATTTGGCTAGATAAATTGATTTAAAAATCTTTTTTTTCTGTTGAATTCATAGTTTAAACAATTGAAGTTCTCTCCAAGGGGAGATGCCTCTGTGGGGCCCACATATTATGCCATAATAAGTAAACTGTATTGCACCAACTATACTTTATCAAACAGCCACTCGCTTTCATGCATGGGACCCTAACGTTCTGACAACTCCTTAGCAAGATGAAATAGTGACAAGAGAAGCTGCAAATTAGCTTTGTGGAAAGTGTCTGGCATTAGACAAATAATTTTCAAGTTAGTGACTTTATTCAAACAAGTGTAATGATTCCTTTTATCTTTTCTACTTTTCACTAACCCAGCTTCTCTCTATGCCTCCAGCTCAAACATAAAAACATGGATGGAAACAAAACCTTCCCCAGTGACTTCACTCTTGTGGGGCTCTTTACTCACAGCAAAGCCTCAGGATTCCTTTTCAGTGTCATTTGTGCCATGTTCTTTATGGCCATGCTGGCTAATGGATTCATGATCTTTCTCATCCGCGTAGACCCTCACCTCCACACCCCCATGTACTTCCTCCTCAGCCATCTCTCTTTTATTGACATGATGTACATCTCCACCATTGTGCCCAAGATACTGATTAATTATCTTGTGGGCAAAGGAACCATCTCCTTTGTAGCCTGCACGGCTCAGTACTTTCTCTACATGGGCTTTGTAGGAGCTGAGTTCTTCCTGCTGGGCCTTATGGCCTATGACCGCTACGTGGCCATCTGCAATCCACTCCGCTATCCTGTCCTCATGAGTCGGAGGGTCTGCTGGTTGATCTTGGCCAGCTCTTGGTTTGGTGGTGCTTTGGACAGTTTCCTCCTCACTCCCATCACCATGAGTCTCCCATTCTGTGCGTCTCACAAGATTAACCACTTTTTCTGTGAGGCTCCCACTATGCTGAGGCTGGCCTGTGGTGACAAGGCCATCTATGAAATGGTGATGTATGTCTGCTGTGTTGTGATGCTCTTGATGCCCTTCTCTGTGGTGATCACATCCTACATCCAGATACTTGCCACTGTGCATCAGATAACGTCTGCAGAAGGAAAGAAGAAAGCTTTTGCGACTTGCTCGTCACATGTGATCGTGGTGACCTTGTTTTATGGAGCTGCACTGTATACCTATATGCTTCCCCAATCCTACCATACCCCACTTAAAGATAAGATTTTTTCTGCCTTTTATACCATCCTTACCCCATTGTTAAACCCTGTTATTTATAGTCTGAGGAACAGAGATGTGGCAGGGGCTTTGAAAAGGGTGATAGCAAGACATAGAGGGGCCTGCGGTGTGGCAAGGAAATAATTACAAAAGGCTCAAGCTTCAGTGTCTATTCAGGAGCATCTGGGATAAAATCATGAGAAATGTGGATGTTGCTGTCAGCAATTTCAAAAGCCAGTTCCTTGAAGTGATACATCAGCAGTGTTTGCATAAAAACTGAGACGCCATGACAGCATTCACACATAAATTATGCTAGAGTTAATCAATGTCACCTGCTTACTCCTTTGTTTCCCCTGATTTTAATTTATTCCTAGAAATTCTCTTATTGTAATTCATGCACACAAATGTCCCCAAGTGTCTAGTTAATATTACATATCAACCTTCAATGACCTTATAAGACCTGGTGGATTTGATGACATTGTTTAAACTATTCATTGATAGAGTTTTTGAAATATTTAAGAACAACAACATTTAAAAGAAACTGAAGCATTATAAAACCACAGGAAATACCTACATAGACTCAACATTGTTATTTGAAAAATCTAGACATCTCTTATTAGAATAAAAACTGAAAAAAAGTCATTTATCTAAACTTAAAGATGAAAAAAAATGAATCAGGTTTGTGTGGTGACACAAAGCCAAAAGCATAAAGAGCAGGGTTCTGCTGCATTTCCCTTACAGATAAGTTTTATTGATTTATATTTTATGCAGGTGAATGTTTTGATGAATGTATGTAAGTATACCCACCATATGGGTGCATTGTCTGTGGAGGCCAGAAGAGGGCGTTGGATCCCCTGGAACTTTAATTGCAGAAGACTGTTATCCACCATGTGGGTGCTGGGAACTGAACCCTGGTCTTAACTGCTAAGCCATCTCTCCAGCCCCATCTTTGTATTTCTTTTTAACTTTTACAAAAACTTTATTGAGAATTTCATACATGCATATAAGGTGTTTTGATCAAAACCATGCCCACTCCCCCACTTCCAATACCTCCCATATCTCCCCATCACTTTTTTCTTTTTCTTTTCTTATTTTCTTCTTTCACTTATTTATTTCCATGGGGCTTTTGGGTATTCTAACATTCCCCCCCTCTGAGGAGTAACCCTAAAATCTTTTAAGGATTAGATACAAGCTCCCAAATACTTTTGACATTTTTGGCCTTTGGAACGGAGTATGTTGCTAACAGTCCCAAGGACATTTTGACTTTTAGCCAAGAAACTGGCTACTTTTCTTTGGGGTCTTTTTACCCTGTGTAGCCAATTCCTACCTCCTATTCTTATCACGCCATCCTCTGAAGAGGTTACCCAAATTGCCAGTAGGGAATAAGGACGCAGACTGCTCTGGTTTCTTCCATGCTTAACAGGGACACACAGTGAGGCAATTGGAGTACCCCTTCAGTGGGTCTATCTAAAAGACTCCCAAATTGTATAACTCTTATCTCGAGGAGGAAAAGAAAGTCTTTGAATCCTGAATAGGAGATGTGAAGGAGAAGTAAAGGCAAGAGTAATTAGTATTACAAGTTCTAGACAGGGAACTAGAAAAAGTCAGAACCCACCTTTGTATTTCTTATTCATTACATTAGAATATGTATCACCAGGCAGTTGAGAAATACCCCCATTGAAAAACAGTTCCTACAACCAAACCCTAGCTGTTCCCTCAAGTCATTATTATTCTTGGGATCTCAGTGTAGATATCAGTGATAGGAAGACTATTTCTGCCTTCTTTTCCCTTCCAAAGAAATATTGGACACAGCATGATTTCTTTTCCATAGGACTGTTTTTTTTTTCATTAGATACATAAATTGAGAAAAGCTTAAACAAACCAGCTTTTCATTTGTAAACTACAACCTGAAAATCTAATATCATTTCTGTTTTAGAAAACTGAGGTCTGTGGAAAAATATTTAATTCAGACATAGCCACAAAACTCAAGACCACATCCTGGTCCCCTTGGGCCAACTCTGCATCATTCTGTGCCAGACACTTTGCTCTCTCCTGTTGGACAAAATCCAAGTTGGATGCAGTGTTGTCTGAGTGCTCAGACAATAGTGTGGGAGTTGAACAGAGCCAGACTGCCTATGGTACTGAAAATTCTCCTGGGCATTAACTAACTAATTAGTCAAATGGAGCAGTCTTCTTGGAGTCCTATGTTGGACTGACCTGATACTGATATACAGATATCAGCCTTCAAATGTAGAAGCAGCCTTCTGTGACTCCATTTGGAGAACTGCATGCACTTAAAATTTGGGAGACTAGCTCAGAAAATGTCACATGTAGAACTGTAAAGGTGACCAGCCTCTGCGGAAGTCTGTGTGAAAGTTTCCTGGGAAAATAGTCACCTGCTGATGTGTCTGTGTATCAAGGTTTATTACAATGTTTATTACAATGTTTATTCACAACGAGTGTCCAATAACAGAGCAATGGATAAGGAAAATGTGGTATACAGACATTATAATGAAATTTTTTCTCTTCCGTAAAGATGAATGAAGCTATGTTTGCAGGAAATGGATGCAACTTGAGATAACTATACTAAATGAAATGAGCCAATCATAAAAACATAAATATCATGTTTTCTCCTATTAGTAGTTTCTAGATTGTTTACAGATACATAAAACCACATATATGCATATATATATATAAACATACATGTTAAAAAATGCCACAGCAGGCTGTTTTCCACTCTATAATGAGGCATAAGAAGCCAAATAAATGAGAAAGGATGGTGGGGCTGACACATGAGAACTGCACATCGATTTCAGTTACATGTCTGTATTAGGCAGGGTCTTCAAGCTCATCAGAATAATGAAGCACAGTGTACATGCATGTGCATGTGCAGGTGTGTGTGTGTGTATGTGTGTATTATATAAAATTCATTATATTGACTTACATGATAGGGACTGATAGTCCAAAACAACTGTAAACAAAATTATTTTTAAAATAGATATCAGGGTTGTTTTCATCCCCCTAGGCCAACGTTGGCCTCTTTGCTAAGGGTCTCTTAGAGAGGAAAGCTATTTCAGGGATGTCTTTAGGAAGTAGGTCTATGGTAGAAAAGATCAAAACAAAAATTAGGGACTGTAAGACTGCCTCTCTGATAGCTGTTTCCCCAGTGGAACTAACAGCAGGAACTGGTGGAAGAATTTGCTTGACTTCCTCCCTGCAGGAAGGCAGTGGCCATAAAGAGGATGATGCTTCGAAGAGTAAGTGGTAGTGGCCCTTAATATGTAAGTCTGTCTCACGTCCTGAGTCTCCACTAGGGGGAGCCACTGGGAAGAAGGTGCGTTTCCTGTGATGACCAGAGCTGGCTCCCCTGCCCCTCTGCACTCGTTTTTCTCCCTGTGTTATAAAGTGGGGCCTGGATACACAGTAATCCCCTACCAGAAACCCAGATTGTGATTTAAGTAATAATAAAAAGTCAGTAGAAAGGGCTGAAAAATAATAATGCACTCCTTAGAGTGGCAATAATTGAAACAATAATGAGATAACATTAAGTGTTAATTAGAATGATTAAAATGAAAAACTATGCCACTAACAAACGCTAACAAAATATAGGAACTCTTGTTCATTGCTGATGGGCGTGCAAAACAGTAGACCTGCCTTAGAAGGCAGTAGTAGACCTGCATTTCTTATAGAGTGGAATTTTACCTTCACATATGGCCTGATAATTGTGCTTCACGATTTTTACCCTATTGATCTAAAATCTGTGTTTTTATAAATATTAGTATGTGAATGTTTATAACTTAACTTTTCACAATCACCCCAAAGCAATAATTAATCTATATGTCTTTCATTAGGTTAATGGATAAGCAAACTCACTATGTTGTATGATAGAATATTGCTCAATGACAAAAGGAATGAGTTATTAAATTATGAGAAGGCATGGAGGAAACTTGAATACATGTTACTACATGAAGGAAGTGATTGAAGGGGATATTGACCCTTTGAGTTTAGCTATGTGAGATCTGGAAAAGGAAATCAGTAGGCAGAAAATACAGAAGATAGTCATCAAGTACAAGGAGATCATAGTGGTAGCAATTCAACTAGTGGCTGCCAGGGTTAGAGGCTTGAGAGGGGTAGGTCACAGCACAGATGAATTTGGAGGGGCTGTGATACAACAGTATAATAGAAATTGCATAGCATCACTCATGAAGCCACAGAGCAGAAAAAGTGAACCCTGATATAAACTGTGGACTTCAAGACTGCACAGATAGTTTGGTGGTCAGTAAAGGCACTAGCCACACAAGCCTCATGACCTGAGTCCAATCCCCAGATCTCACACGAAAAGATAGATGATGTGGTGACATCCATTTGTCATCCCAGTATCCCTATGGTGAGATGGGAAGCAGAGATAGGAGAATCACCCAGAAACTCCTGGGCCAACTCGCCTGGAGTATGCAGCACAAGAGCAGAAATCTCAGGAGAGCACCTCAGGAAGGTGGAAAGCAAGAACCAGTTCCCAAAAGTTGTCCTCTGACCTTAGCACGCATGTGCACACACACACACACACGCACGCACGCACACATACACGCATGCACGCACACATGCACACACACACACACACACATATTGACAATAATGGAACAAAACTTGTCAGTTGTGCACGCACGCACACATACACGCATGCACGCACACACGCACACACACACACACACATATTGACAATAATGGAACAAAACTTGTCAGTTGTAACAAACATACCACATTAATGCAAGGAGTTACTAAGAGGATTTGAGAGAGGACATAGAACAGAACTCTGTAAAGATAAAACAGAACTCTATTACCAATGCATAGTAAACCTAAGTCTCTTAGAAAGTTGAGCAGATTTTTCTAGAAACCATGTAACTCTGATACTGTATTTTACTCAAGAAGTCCCTGGAAGCTGCCATCAAAGAATTGTGGAAGTTGTAGAACTAGGGTAGAGTTGGACATGACAAAAGTTTGTTCATGACTAGGTTTGGGCTTATAAGTACTTAGAATCGGGGCTGGAGAGATGGCTCGGTGGTTGAGAGCACTGACTGCTCTTGCAGAGGACCTGGTTCAAAGCCCAGGACCCACATAACAGCTAACAACTGTTCATAACTCCAGTTCCAGGGGATCTAATGCCCCCT